GCCAAGATGCTTTAATTAAAATGGTATGGAGTGTAAGAGAAAAAAGCAAGTTGTATCAAGTTGGGCCACCACAAATGCACACGTGAGAAAGACATTCCTTTACCGATTATTGTAATAAGCAACAACTGCTTCTGAATTAAACTCCCTGAATTGAAACCACCAATGAGTTTCAAAGCTTTGTTTGCTGCATTCCAGGACATTACAGATGAAAAAGGTGGGTCTATTGACACTCTTATGAGATCAGAAAAAGCGGTTTGGCTGGGAAGGTTTAACTGTAGTGCTGGCCCTGCCATAAAGAGATTCACATTGTTTAACAAGTAGTAAAAACAATGTTATTCAGCTGATAACATACATGTAGGGCTGAGCGGTACATTGAATATTCACAATGATTTTGCCGGGAATATAAAATTGAGCAACACTGTGAATATGCTGATGACCCAAATGCAGCTTTTAGTTGGCTATTACGTTTCCGGAAAAAATGGTTGCGTCATTTTTTAATGTTAAAATGTTCTGCTAAAATATATTTGGATATAGTTATTGCTGTTTATTAAGTATTGTTTCAATGTAGTATTGCTGAATATTAATGAAAATTTTGTGAAAAGAAGAAAACCTCTGAGAAAAATTAACCACAATTCTACAATAATTCAATAATTAACAATAATTCTACTGTTTTTGTGTTAATCATTTTGATTCTACCGGGCAACAATGGTTAAAGGGGATAGAAAAAACACCCTTATTTAGAGCTATTTCTGAGTACATACATAAACAATTGAGAAATGGCTTAAAACTATTAAATATTTTTGAAGTTGCAATGTAATGCAAGTAGCACCAGAGGTTCTCTCATTGATTGTTGACTGGATGGACCAAAATCTGAATGCAGCAGATTGTAAGAAAGGGGTGGGGTTTTAAAAGGCCTCTATTATGCCATTTCCAATATTGCCTTTAATGCAGTGTAATGTAGCTGTATGTGAATGTAAACAACCTGCAAAGTTGTAAAATCAAAAGTGCACGATAAATAACGTTATTGTCTCCCAAAAGAAAGAATTGACTCTGAACAGCCTAAACGAGTCGTTAGTAATTTGAATCCCACTTCTGTAGCGGGGCAACACATTTGCATAATTCCCGCCTATGTTCTACGTTGGCCCGCCGCTAACAACTTGACCCCGTTCTAATCTCGGGGAGTTCAACGCGGGATTCGCAAAACGCTTGCTCTTGAAAGATGGCTCACTACCCTGCTAATAGATGTTTATATTTTCTATTGAGCCTTCAAAATACAGAACTATGGCAATGGGCGTATAGCTTCCGATATGTGCTATAAACGGTAGACGAATCAAAACAGACTGGGCCATCTGACTAATCAGAGCAGAGTAGGCTCACAGAAAGGAGGGTTTTGGAGAGACTGAATCTTAGAACTGCTTTGAACGAATCGTTTGTGATTCGCTGGAAAATTAGGTGATATTAAATGCATATTTTGAGAAAACTTAAGCATTTTTTGACCTTGCATGCATGTAATCCTATTGTAAGAGAGTCCCAAAACTATATTAAGAACCTTAAAAATGGCATAATAGGGGCACTTTAAGTAGACAAAATCATTGGCGAAATGCAGTATGAGTCACCAGCAAAGTCTGTCGTTTCACCAGAGTTATATTTTAATTGAATTATGAGGTTAAAAAAAAACATTTAAAACATTCACAATAAGATTATTCACATGCTTTTAAAAAAAATTTAATTCCAAGTTGTGATTTAAGCTATATGACCAAAATCTACATACAGTTAAAGACTGGGTTGAAAGATTACTCTTTTTCTTTAAACAATACATGGCTCCTCAGGTAAATATCTAACCAAGAACTTACAAATATCACTAGGTGCAAAATAAGGTAAAACCTAAGAACCCCCTCAAAAAAACAATGTCATCACCAACCACCATATTAGTGTGTTGAAGAAGCGCACAGAGAAGACAAGAAGCTGCTCAGTGGAAACTCCGCTAAGAGGGTGGGGACTCCTGTAAATGCTGCCACAAACCTGTCCACTTCCTGTCAGTCTGATGCTTACACCACTGTGACTGTAAACCTAATAGAATGACTCAAACGACAAGACAGACAGTTCATGTTATTCAACACAGACATCTTGAAGATTTATTGTCTTCTCAAAGGCCACATCATGCAGCTTTTATGGAAGCCACGCAGAGGGAGCAGATGTCTGTCAGGTCAGGATGAGACTGTGTTGAGCACCGTGCTCATTCATCAAGGGCTAGCAGCACTCCTGCTGGGCTTGCAATGCCGGCTCAAAGGCTCTAACAACTCCTTCAATATTAAAGCAGACAAGCTGAAAAGACAATGGGAGGAATGGAAGTCATGCTGTTGCCAGTTGTGTAGATGTTTTAGGAGAGCCTGCTGTGAGGCACAACTCAATCCATGTTTGTTAACAAGCTGTGAACTACTGTTACCAGTGACATTAAACATGCTGCCCAGTTAGAATGGCTACTGACAGCTCTGTTCATCCAAAATGCCAAACAAGCTATAAATATGGTCTAAACAGGCCTAATGTTGATCAAAAAAGCCACGTTTTGAAAGGTTATCATGCCTTCATTTGACACAGTCTTTATATTAGTTAATAATGAGAAAGATTTCAGCAGACTTGCCAAAAGCACCAAGTCTCTGGAGCGAAGCAGCATCATGATGAAGGTCTACCTACTGCCACGTTCACACAGCAGCAGAATACGATTGTCAGTCCTGTATTTGAGTCATTAATACAGGTGCATTCACACACATTCTGGTTATTTATTTACAACCACATTCTAGGCATGCTCAGATCGATCGGCATCGGCCGATAATCACATATTATGACTCGATCGGTACTCACCAACTTGGCCGATCTCACAAAATAAACAAATAGACAAAGGCGTAGTTTGATGACGCCGTGACTGAGTGTGGAATCATGGGAGTTGTCATCTTCATCCCCACAGCCGATGCAATCTGACGTGACTCGGGCAGAAATCATGTTCATAGATGAGCTAATGATTTATTAACGTTGTAGTATGAAGCAGGGTGAGGCTGAAAGCCGTCGAAGCGAAACGACGCCACTGAACGAGTGCGCCACTCGGCTCGAAAGCAGTGTCGCTTTTATTATGCCACAGTCGACTGCTTCCGTTCCTTCCGGTCGTGCGTATGTGGGGAAAAAAGCAGCGCTGTTTTATCATACTAGATACATTTGAAAGTTCTGTTATGCTACTCTGTGCGGTTGTCACCGGTCTAATAAAACGCACTACATATTAAAGCGTCTTTGGTGTTTCCATGTTTTCTACAAAACCGGAAATCGAGGGGTTATGTCATTGGCAGGCAACACAATAACACTATGCGCACGGTCCGTCACTAGTTAAAATTGCTTATTTCTCTGGATTTAAACATTCTTCGAAACATTTGGGATAATGCAAGTACACAAGTCAGCTAAATACATAACACTGTTCTAGTGGTTTTTGGATATTTTCATAAAAAAAATCTTACATATTGTGCCTTTAAGTTATTTTGCTCACATTTATTTAAAATTGTCCCAATGTAGCAAACACAAAAATTCTGTCAAACTACCAATGAAATGTCCATTTAGGTACATAACATTGATTTTATGGTGATGAAATACATTGCAGCATGCTCATATTTAGAGGCAACTAAGAAAAATCAGCATGCACATCAAACAACTAAGCCAGCAAAAAAACAAACAAACAAAAATACCCTGTTATGCCAGGCAAAATATCTCACCTTATATTACACAGATACCTCAAGCTCTAAAACATGTCCTGACTTGTTCTCCCCTGGCAATTTTACAAGTTCCATCAGATTCTGGCAGGAATGCCTGCATGTCCGTCTCAAAGACAACAAGGCATAAGCCACTGACCAACACCTGTCCTGTACAGTTTGTATTAATCACACAGGAGCAGGAACAACAGGTGGAGCATGAAGCCACGTGACTCATCAAATACTACACATGGCACCTGAATACAGCATTTTGGATCATGTCATGTCATTAATAAGCATCCTTCTCGTTTAGGGAACTGGTTGAGATCACGTTCCACCCATACATCAGCTTTCCTGTTCTACAAGCATGCCATTTAAATGCGTTACTATTGGCTTAGCAGTTGGTTTACTACGCAGTTTAGGTCTAATGCTGGCTCATCAGCTTACAGTTTAACCATATAAGTTACTGTACACGGGAATGATCAAAGACACGGATCGACCATACCTCAAAGGGTTACCATATGTCAGAGTCAGTTAAAATAAAGCAAACATGAATATGAAGAAACCAGTTACACGTACGTGAACCGGCAAGGCTTGTGTGACAAATGTTGTGGTACATTAAAAATAAACTAAAATTAAGGACTCTAATCTTCCACGTTTTGCATAACCATTGAACCCCTGAAATCAGGAACATTCTGGAGTGCGACGATAAAGTGTTATGACATTTTTAACATTAGCTCGCTGGCTAACAATTAAATCTCACCCTCTCTGACCCTCACAGCCGGTCAAACGATGAAACATGACCAAGTGACCATCATGTTTTACGTCCATACACAGAATCAAACATGTAACTAATTTTATTCTTAATGCTCTAACGTTAGCGGACAATAAACCGTCAGAGTAACTTCTTGACACGGTCTCTGCTGATGATGAGACCGCTAGCAAGCAGCTAGCCAGCGCAGTCCAGGGCAGCCTGAGGAGAACACCAGCCCCTTCATTCATTTATCGACACCAAACTCAGGAATGATCGACAAACGGTCTCTGATCGCGTCAAAAACCGTCTAGCTGTCAAAACGAATAAAACAGGCGAGTGTGGAGTTTCCGTTCAAACGTACGCGGGCAAATGGCTGCCACCCTCGCGAGCTCCTTCACCGGCTGAAGCGCGAGCTTTCACAGCTATGACGGTCAAACAAACGACTCGGGTAGTCGCTATTAACGTCTTTCTGGCATATTAGAGGGGGAAGGCGAGTGATAATAAGGGATACTTACAAAGAACGGGCCAAACATTGAAATCCCTTGGCAATCCCCGGAGAACGTGCACGTAGAGCCGTAACCGCTTTGAGGGTGAAGTCGTGTTTATCGTCCTCTCAGTAAAAGCTGAATTGAGATGAACTGAAGAGGGAGGAGTCAGCCATTGACTGCGTCATCATTACGCAAGAGCCTGTTCCAATGTTCGATATTCTCTTAATTTGTGGAACGCGATTTCTTTTTACAAATTGAATCCAAGAATGTATATATATTTACGATGACTTATTTATAATACTCTGTGGAACATTAAATATTGTTTATTTAATCCGAGAGAAAAATGTGACCACCTAATTTGGAAATATTAGATTTGGATATGATCAAACTGTAGATCAACATAAAGAGGGATGAATGCTTACAGGTGTGATATTTGTGAAGCCTTTGAGCCACTTTTATACAGAGGCGGACAACTCAAATCAGACAATATTGTGTCTAATATTTACCTCAATATTAACTTCTTATTATTGAATTGTTGTAAATAAATATCACATTTGCAATTGGTCAGTGTTCAAAAGATGCTGGGAAATCACTTCATGTAGCCCTACAAGAGTGATTACTGATAAACTGTCTGTTTTAGAGAAGAAAAAAATCACCCACTGACTTTCAAAGCTGCTACATAGCACCGACTTTCTACTTCGAGGACCTTGATAGAAATATAGTGGAGTTAAAGTCATAAGTTCCCAGAAAAAATAATACTCAAGTAAAGTACCAATACTCAAAAAGTGTACTTAAGTACAATACTCAAG